AGCAAAATTTATTTTCTCAAGGTGTAGCACTAACTACTTAAATTCTGGGCTCTGGCTCGATGGAAGGCTCTCTTTGTTGTCTCTGGAAGAAAATGCCCCTTGGTGACTATGGACCTAGTATTCTCTGATTATATGGCGGTCACTATATTCTACACATTTTTGCCTCTTCTTTGCTTCTCTGTGTCAAATCGCTTTCTAAAATAAGCAAACAAATGATTAATAATCTAATTAACATATACAGAAAATGATTCTCAATAAAATTGCATCAACTTTTGGGGAGACACAATTCAATTCATAACATTGTCAAAGCACAGAGCCACAATATTCAAAGTTAGAAAAACAGGATACATCATTGATCCATTGAAATATTGTGTTCCTCCTTTCCAGGGAAGAAAGCAGAGGAAATAAATTTGAGAATGACAGCTTAGAGGCTAATAATGATGGTTATTTCTTATAGGTGGATCAGACAAAAGTCAGTTTCTTCATTAATGGCATGGAAAAGGATAACAGAGCTTTGGATGTGAGAACTCTAACTGGTTCAATTACGAATTTTGCCTCTGGCACTATACGAGTAGGACAGAGCATAAATGGTAAGATTCTAACTTTATAATATTTATTTTATTAAATATAATTATATAAAACTCCTATCATCGTATTTTAAAATTTTCAGGGCCTTCATAATAATAATAATAACTTCTCTAGCACAATCAATTTTTTAAAGCAAGAGCTATATATAATGCTGTAGGAATTATTAAGTAGAATTGACAGGATCAGGGATTAAGAATTATTGGTCACCCATGTAGTAAACTATATCTGTGGTGTGCTCTGGGAATGTTATTAGGAGGGGTCAGTCTCTGGAAAAGGACATCATGCTTAGACAAAAAAGGGTCCGTGAAAGAGGAAGATGCTTAAAGAGATGAACATAAAGTGTGACCGCAACAATTGGCTTAATTAAGCGCAGCACAGATTGTGAGATGACACAGCATCAGGCAGTTTCATTCTGCTATACGTAAGGCGACTAGGAGTCAAAGCCCACTCCACAGCATTTAACATCAACAGCAACAACAACGGTGTCCATACTTTTCCACCCTAAAAGGTGGTATATTATTGCAAATGATCTTATAAATTATATCCCGACAAAAAGTAGAAATAAAAATGAGAGTTCTTCAAAGGAAGCTTTGAATCAGTCCATTCTAGTTTGACCCCCACTGAGAATTTACAGTTCTGTCCCAGATACTGAAACAGAATCTACATTTTAATAAAATCCCTAGCTGTGCATAAAAATCACGTGGAGCAAATCTGCTCTACCCTTGTGTTTATTTTTCTATGAATAGAGTGCGTAAGCAGCACAGTTAGTGCAGTGGCTAAGGACTTGGCTGATACCCACAAGCCAGTGGCTGAATCCCACGAGTGGCTCTACAGGAGAAAGGTGGGGGCATCCGCTTTGCGAAAATGGCAACTTTGGAAGTCCCATGGGACAATTTTAGTAAAAAAGTTTTTATGAGTCAGAATATATGTTATGAAAATTGTTTTTATAGGGAGTATGTGAAATACCATGTATACAGAGCATGCTATGTTTTACAGTGTTGAGTCAGAACTGACTTGGACCAGACCCCCTAGGGGGTTTTTCAGAGGCTATAAATTACACAGGAGGAGATTATGGATTTTCTCATTTGGAGCAGCTGGTGGATTTGAACCACATGTTTTTGGATTGGCAGCAAATTCCTTTCCACTAAGCCACAAGTGCTCCCTAGTATGTAGCAGATGCTGTTGCTGTTAGCTATAATTGAGTTGAGTACAACTCATAATGACCCTATGAACTATAGACCTGAATCCTGTCCTATCCTGTGTCACCTCCATCATCTCTAACACGCTTACACCCATTGTTGCAGTCCCTGTGACAATCCTTCTGGCTGAGGGTCTTCTTCTCTTTCACTGACCCTCCATCTTCCCGAGCACGACGCCCCTTTTCAATGAATAGCTTTATCTAGTGACATTTGTACCATCTTTGCCTCCAAGAAACACTCAGACTGCACTTTTCTCAAGGCTTATATTTTTATTCTTTTGGCAGTCCATGGGATATTCAGTCCTCCTCTCCTTGTCATATCATAAATGTCTAGTAAGGACCAGCTATTATGAACCTGTTGTTGTTGTTGTTATGTGCCATCGAGTCATTTCCGACTCATAGCGACCCTATGCACAACAGCTCTAAACCCTGCTCTATCCTGCACCAACCACACTGCCTCTGACACACCCATCCCGATTACCCCAGTCACTGAATCAATCCACCTCATAGAGGGTCTTCCCCTCCTGCAATTATGAACCTATTTATCTTTTTATTTTGGCGAGGAGAATTTTATAAAGACTGCTTCAGGTTATGCTTCATATTATTAACCTCTTTGAAGATACTTCTTTTCATTATGAAAGAGAAATTATCTTCTCATAACATTGTTGTAGAGCTCAAAAAAAGACGTGTGTATAAAAGGTTGTATTATTTTGTTTATACTCTAAGTTCAAGCTAAAATTTTATGTTGTTATTTTTTGTTATGTACTATTGAGTGGGGACCAACTAATAGCTGACCTTCCAGTGGGTTTAGAAGTAGCAACATAGCATGAGAGGAGGTTGTCTCTCTTTATTTTGCAGAGTGGAGCCTTTGGGTTGGGAGCTCAACTCCCAAACACTAAACCACTAGTTATTTGTTTTGTTAAGTACCATCAAGTTCAGTCCAATTCATAGCTGACCCTTCGTTAGGTTTTCAGAGGCAGTAAATTGCTTTGGGGAGATTACTCATCTTTCTCCCATGTAGCAATTGGTGAAATCAAAGCTTGTGTCTTCAGCCTGGAAGCAGGGCTCCATACCACTAAGCTACCGGAGTTCCCTAAAATTACATTAAGAAGCCATATTTCTAAATATGCATACTTTTAGAAACTTGGTTTGAGTAATTAATATATTGAAGACTTTTATAAAGTATTCTGCATGCAGATTTTTTTTTGGTAGCACATTAAATCTTGTGAGCCTCATTTCAACATTTAATTCCCATTAGTACTTCTGAAAGTGTTTTATTGCACCAAATGTTGCTCAATGTATTCAATAGTGCCATAAATTTGTCTACTATGCACTGTGGGGTTCACATGACTTGCTTTTATTCTACCTCAATATGCTAAGTTTTGAATTAATGCTTTCAAAGGACTGATGGTAATATTTGTTTTTAGATTGTGTGAGAATAAATTTGACTTGTGATTAGGAGACACATATTTGAAAAAGAATTTATGTCAAATATTATTGAATTCTTTTTATAATTTTTCTTCTGTTAGCTTCTGAGCATCTGAGGACTAGAAGAGGAAAAGGATGTTTTAAAATGATTTTTTTTAATCTTTATCAATTTATAGGTACAGTTGTACCTACTGTATCTTTTCTCTAATTAGAGATGGCATGTAGACTGGCTCATTACTTCTGCCTAATGAGCCAGGCTCCATGCCACCTCTCTAATCAGAATAAAGATAGGTACAGAATGTTCCTGTGGACTTATTATAAATCATTTTCTTTCTTTCACTTGCCCTTTTTTTAATAAAAAAATCAAGTCACTGTCCATACTTTTGTCTATATCCAAGACGGTTTCATTCAGAAGAAGTAATTGTGCAGGAGATTATCAAGAACAGAATTAAAGGTGCTCTCATGCAGTGCCAGACCGGCTGTCCCTGCTTTGGAACAGACAGGGACTCAAACATTGGCATATCAAGTAAGGGCCTGCAGCACTTCAAGATGTGGCTCTCCTTTCTTTCTCTGGTTAATCTTAACTTGCTTCCACATTTCTTTTTCAAGGAAGAAACTAGATGTGTGTTGGCTCAATGCAGTTTTTATCACTAACTTGCACAACTTCTAGAAAAATGTTTTGCCAAAAATACTTTCTGTTCCTGCAAGCTTTGTTTTTGCTGCCTCTAAGAAATCAATCAGTGGACTAAATGAACCTCCTTTCCTGAACCTTTATGTATGTATATTAATGGGATAATCGAATTTATTCAGGCTGATTTTTAAATGTATTAACAGAAACTTCTTGTTGGTGTTGTTAATTGCATTCATATCAATCAGTACGTACGTATCAGCTGCCTTTAAAATGCTGTTTATCACTATAGATTAATTTCAATGAATGCTTCAAATTTGCATAAGAAGTTAAGGGAGTTAGGATAACAGGTATATACCAATGAGGAGTCACTACTGTTACTGTGATAAACATACTACACTAAGTTTCTAAATTTTCAATTTGAAATTTAAGAACCATTTTAATCAAGACTTTCTTTATCAGTGCTGTTTCTGAGTTCATTATCAACAGAGTTCTAAGTTCTTTTAAAAAAGATATATGTGCATTCAATCATGTACCATTTTCTTAAAAGAGTCATTGGTTGCTAATGACATTTAAATATTTGTAGTCTATGAAGGCCAATAGATACTGGGGAAAGAATACTAAAGAATATTAAAGAATTTAATACTTTAGATGTATATATGACAAAATGTTATTCAGAATGTTAATGGGATTAATCTCCATGAATGGTATTTTAAGTATTATTAGCTTTCAAAGTAGTTTTTGGCATTATACATAGTCCTACCCAACTAAAAACATATGTTATAAAAAAAACAACAATGTTTTAATTATGACTTTCTAATGTTGAACTATCACTGGATTCCTGGTATATATCATACTTAATTATAATATCTGACTCTTCAAATATGTTGTTGGGTGTTTTCAAATATGTTGTTGTATTTTGTTTATGATTTTAGCATCTAAAGGATGAATAGAGAAACACCATTTGATAAAATGCAACACCCTTTCTTAATGAATTTTCCTAAAGAAAATTGGTTAAATTCTTCGCTATGATTCAGAATATATGTATAAGATGCCAACAACCAATGTTACTGTCATTGTTGTTATGTACTGTACAGTAGGGACTGACCCATAGTTGACCCTCTGGTGGGTTTTGAGAAGCATTTAATCTCATGGGACAAGACTGCCCATTCTCTTTTTTTTTTTTTTTAAGACTGCCCATTCTCTTGCAGAATAACTGGTGGCCACAAACCACGTGCCTTTGGGATTGCAGCACAACTTCTTGGCCAAAAACTGAGTGTTTCCCAGCTGGAATTGGAAAAAAGATAAATGTATCTGCTTTCACCACTTCTATTGAATATTGTGTTGGAATTACTGACCAGAGTGATAAAACAAGAAAAAGGAAATAAAATCTATCCAGATTAGAAAAGAAAAACAAATATTCTCTACTGACAGATAATATGATTCTATACACAGAAAATTCCAGAAGTCCATGAAAAACAAACAAAGAAACCAAACACAACAACTTCTAGAGCTAACAGAGGAAGTTAGCAGACTTTCAAAGTAAAAAAAAAACAAAAACCCAAAACCTCAACAGTCAGTTAGGTTTCTATACACCAAAAATGAGAGCTATGAAAGGGAAAGGAAATTTGGGGAGGGGGTGGGAAGGAAATATCATTTACTATAGCATTTAAGAAAATAAAACATATAGGAATAAACATACCAAAAATATGAAGGATTTATAAAAGCATAAAACACCTCTGAATGAG